CGGGCTCAGTAATGCTCCAGTAACACTTGAGAGACTGATGGAACGAGTATTGGAAGGCCTACAATGGACGTAACAATATGATACAAAATGTTATAAAATGTCTGTTTTAAACTTTCTTATGGTAAGTAAGTGAAAATACATGCCCACTATGATATTGGTTGTCAAGTTATAGAAAACAATAGAATCTTGGCCATTGAAGTTTAAAGAAAATTGTACGTACCAGTGTATGAAATAAATTAGGAAATTTATGCAGTTATTAGGTTAAGTAAGTATTGTATATGTAAATATTTCCAAATTTAATTTCTGATAGTAGACAATAACATTATTTTCAAATATTTTGAAGCATAAATAATACTATGTCTTAGTTTTTTTACTATAACCCAACATAAAGGACTGTAAAACTTCAATTTTACTATTTCATTGCTTTTAACATTTTCTTCAAGAAGTAATAAATTACTTTAGAGTAATATTTTAATTTTTATAGCTATTTTGATAATTCTTATTTCTTTGTTTATGGTTTCTGTAACAAATATCATTATCATTGTTATTTTTAGTAATTAAAGCTATTGATGATTTTAATATTTGACTCATTACTTCAATGATCTAAAAACTTTCCATTAAGGTTTTTCTAAGTTATTAAATAACTTAGGCTTACTTTTTTTTCTTTTGAAGTTATTAAAATATTTAGAGTTTTTGTAGTTGTTGATAATTTTTCCTTCTTTGTTTTCTTTAAAATATTGTAGAATTAATTTTATTATCTATGGATTATTTGTAAAATCATGGAATGTGCTTTAAATGCTGCTTAAATGTAACTGTCCTGGTGTTTCAAGTTAGTTTTTTTTTATTCAATCCTCATTATAATTTACCTGCCAACAGCTTGCATACTATGAAGAATATTATAATGACCATGTTCAAACCTGAACACACACACACACTGCAAGCATTTTACATACTCTTCCTTTTCAGGCTTAAAGTGGAATGCTTTTGAATTGACAATGCATGATTTTAGTAATACTCAATATATTAGCTTATAAGGTCTTAATAGGCTCTAAGTTTAGGTAGTTTAATCTCAGTCCTAAATTATCTGTTTCATTTTTCCTTTACAGGCACAAGTTGGATGCAACTGTGATGATAAATCAGTGCATATTTCTAGTAATAATCTTCGTCACTTTATTTGTGGTGGATCGACAGGTAGTTATTCAGACAAAAAAATCAAACATTAACTGTTAAAACTCCTTATATTAAGTATATTAATAAAGCTTGGTTCATAAGCCCTATTTAATATCAAAATATAAAACTGTAGTATTTTTTCATAAAATTATGATTGAGAATACTTGAAGATACAAATTTATTTGACTTTTATACATTTAAGACTATAACTGTATTATTTTTATACTAAGAACTTTCTCCAATAAAATGCTATTAAAATCACAAAATTTTTTATTTCAATGCTTAGGGCATTTTTTTCTTTGGTTGTTAGTTTTGATCACTGAGATATATTATAATGAAACTTGAATGGGTTGAATCCTCCTTAATTAAAGGCTCTTAGTGGATGTATCAATGAAGTTTCTTATTAGGCATGACTCTCTCAGGTTAAAAATATTGTCTATAATTTTACTATTTGCATTTTTTTTATAATGAAATACAGTATTATATAATATTTTACACTAACAGGTTGAATATATTTGTCGACTTGATTACCTGTGGAAGAACAAATTCAATGAAGGTAAAGAAGAAACAAGAATAATGGGTCTTGTGAACAGGCTTCTACTACAGAATATTCTTCCTGTTCATGTTACAGATTATTACTTGAGCCACAAAAATTTGCATTCAGAGGTGAGCTTTATTCATTAGATTTATGCATTTGGTTTGACAACGATATGGTTATTTTTATTCAACAGTTACTACAAGATCACGGTTGTAGAAATTGTGATCACCAAAAAATTTCATGGTACTCAATCAGTTGTGGAAAGTAGGCTTTTCAGTACTGTCATTTTTAACTTTTGATAGATTCTAGTAGGTAGTTGAATTTACTTACTAAAAGAATGAAATAAATTTTGAAAATTTATATTTTCTCTCAAAAATTAGAAGTTAGAATATCAATGTTTACTCCAAGAAACTGTTATTTGAGATGTTTGTGACATAAATTCTTTATAATTTACCCATAATTTGCAAAATATACTTATATCTAATGACAAATTGCCAGAACATATAAAGTCATAATATGTTATGTAAAAATTGGTAGGAAAACAAAGTGTTATTTTAAGGAAATTTCCAGATTGAAATACAAATGTGCAAGGTTTGTGAATGACCAGTAGGTTAATGAATTGAACCAACTATTTGCTTTAAGTATTGCTTTCTCAGTCGGGGCAAATCCTCAACCTTCCAATCTGTCTCGATATGATTTCTCATGTATGTTCTTTTCTTTATCTCTAGTCCATCCTTTAGTTCTTCTTGCTTTTTACTCCATGAAACCAATTGTTTGGAATATTTTGTCTTTCCTCCTTCATTTAATATTAGGGTACATGATGCTTTCTTTCTCATACCCACATTCCTTCACCCCCCTTGCATTCTTGACTCTTTTATCATGACTTCCAGCATCTTCCTTCCATTTTCTAGATTTCCAATCTTTGGAATTTCTTTTTCCTGCTTGGGGAGCAGACCCCTAGACTTATATTTCACTCTCTAGTTCTCTGTTTTTGCATCCTTGTCCTTTTTTACTGCTCTCCTACTTTCCCTCTTCTCCCTCCACCTTTGGTTTGAGGCACTTCATCATGTGCTCCATAAGGGTTTTCTGGAGAGGTTCGCCCCCTTTTTCTGTACCACCTTTGCCTGTACCACTTCTTCTGCTCTGTACCTCATTACTTGATTCCCCTGCTGTTAGGACTTGTTTTCCTTACTAATGTACTCCTGCCATCCTTCATCTTTCTGGGATCTTAGTCTTGCTCCCATTCTTTGTCTGGAAGTATTTGGTGGTGTTTGTGTTTCACTGGAGAATTGAGCTGAAGTAACCCAGCATCAGTCCTCGTTATTTTCTCTGGTTTCTCGTCTTTCTAGACCTCCCCCTTCGACTCCTGTTCCTTGACTGAATCAGTCTACAACTACTCTTCCCATTCCAGCTTCTAGGCCTACCTCTTCTTCCTGTTCTTGTGCTTTCTGATGTCTTGTTCATTGCTCGTCTTGTTGGTCACTATCCTGTGGGTGTCCATCTGTCTCACTTCACCAGCCTTTGGTCTCAGTTTTTTACTAACAGATGAATTTTTGTGTTTTCAGTCATGGTCTCTCTCGCCTCTTCCCATTTCCTTTTCTCTTCCCTCAGATTCTACTTATCTTCAACATCATGTGGTTTCGGTCTTGGATCTTTTGACCAAACATGTCATCAAGAGGATATAATAAACTTCTCTGGGTCTCTTACTCTCATCTTTTGGTGGTACACAAGTAGAACTGAGCCTGGCATCAAGTAATCAACCTCACATCTCTCAGCCAGTATCTGGCTATTCTGTAGTTTTACATGGAGAATTTCTTTTCTCTCTGCTGGTCTTTTTCACCTGGTCTGTGGGTGATCATGGTCGTAATGTCAGATTCTTTTCTATCTATCCAGATTACCTCATCTTCCAGACTTTTTTATGTTTTGTCCATCAGATTCGAGTATTCCCATTACATGTTCTTCTTTACTTCATGAAACCAATTCTCGGTATTATTTTTTCTTTCCTCCTTCACCTAATATTTGGGTTCATGCTGTTTTCTTTTTCAAACAACTCCACACTTGTACCCCCATGCCTTATTCCTCCCTTTTTATGTTTTGTCCATCAGATTCGAATCTTCCCATTACATACTCTTCCCTTCAGCATGGTGTTAGCCTCTTATGTCTTTAATAGAGTGAAGAGAGCCTTTGCTCTCCACTTTTGTTAGCTGGAGCTGTGTTTCCACTTCTGCATGATCAGTTGGTTTCTACTTGCCCATTCTTGGGAAATATCCTTCTTTCACAGCTCCATTCTTCTGCGTGTGAGATTTTTCCACTTTTGGAGACTCTGGATTCACAGGAACTTCTCATTCCTTTGGGGCACACACACCTGCACCTTCTTCAATGAACTTGGCAAAACCAGTGAAATTTTCCTTGGGATCCATTGTCCTTCTCTTCTTGAGGACTTGTTTTGGTGGCTGGACAGTGCCAATACCGTGATTGGTGTTTTCTTACTATTCACCAAACTGGATCTTCATCTTCGAACAGTGGCTTCCCTTTTGGGTTGGAACACATCTCTGAATGACACCAGGTCTTCTGGCATTTGGACACAGGAAGAGAGTCCACATCAACATGCTTGAACTTCTCATTGTTTGTTTAGCATGTTCTTATTTTCTACCTGTTCTGGTGGATCATTTGGTCGTGATCCATTCCATGGTTGTTTTTTATATCACATGTTCAAGGGTCACCTACTCTAGGACTCTTTGCTTTTGGACATTTGACCTCTTCTTCTGGGCCCTTTCCCATCAAGTTCATCTTGTTGTTTGTCATGTGTTGGGGGCTTTCTACCTGGTGGTGGATCACCTCTATGATCCAAACTGCATTCTTCTCATGGTGTAGTCTCTCCACCCTCATGTTTTTTGTTGATTTGCTCCTGGTTGGACAACACCTCTCATGGATGCCTTTGCCTGTCCTCTCCTCTCAACTCCAAGTTCTTCTCTTCTGGCCCTCAGATCCTCATCCTTCAGCTCTTAACAGTCGATGCTCTCAGTCAAGATTGATCTTTGACTCTTCCCTGTGGTCCTTGCTTTCATACACAACACTCCATGGTGGATCTTATCTGTAGTACCTCTTTGGCCAGCTCAGCCCTAGTTTCCTCTACTTTTTTGATTGATGTCCAGATCCCCTCTCTGGTGCTTCTACCTCACATATTTTTTTCCATCCATAGATATCACCTTTCATCCCAATGTGTAGGATTTGTCTGTTCCTTCACTCTTAGGGTCAGACTCTCCAACAGTGTAGAATTCTTGTTTGTTATCCCATTCCTGTCACCATTCCACTTTGTCTATCAATGGAAGTGGCAGGTTTTTTTGCTATTGGTCCATCCTCTGCTCTTTTATTTCCAACTGTCATACTATGACACAGTTTTCTGCCTTTTCCACTGTTCAACCATGGTTTGTTGATCTCCACCATTGTTGAATTTTGGATGGCCTCTTACATTACTATAAGATTTTCTTCTCCTGTCCTCTCCACTTTGTTCCAATCATTTCTTCTTCACCAACCTCCTTGTCTTACTCTCATGCCTAACTGAGACCTTACCTGACTAAAACCTCAATGTGTTGTTGCACACTTTCACATGTAAACTGTTTGAGCCATTGGCTTCTTGCTTTTTATATTTCTTTTTCTCTTTTATTTACTTCCTTCTCTTTACCATCTGAGGTCAGTGTTGTTCAGATATCTATGCTTTCTACACTTTTTGCATTCTATTACATTGCACTTATTTACTCCTTTACTCAGACTAGACCTTTCTTCCTAAAACTTTGGCTGCCTTGGAGGGTAGCCACTATTTTTCTTCTATCTCCCATCCTTCTATCCCTTATCTCTATACTAGTTCAGATGCAGATTGGCTCCTATGTCCACTTCAGACTGTTCAGAGTTACTTCTCTCTTTTAAGATCCTTATCATTGTCTGCTTTTACCCTGGGACCCATCTTCATCCATGGAGCTCTCACCTTCTACCCTTAGCAAATGGGTCTGTCAACTCCTCTGACTGGAATATGTTTCCCTGAATGTTGTTGATACTTTAGATTCTTTCATATTTTATTGCATCAGATTCATCACCTGTCTCATTCTTTTGCTTTTCATTTTTGCCAACCTTTGGACAAGCTGGCAACTCCCTACACATACATCGCTCATTATCTTCATATGGATGTTTCATCTCCCACAGGATTTTATCTCCCACTAGTCACCATTCTTCAATCAACTCACTCTCTTTGAGATGGGTAAGTATGGTTTTTTTTCTCTCCCATTCCATCTTCCAGGATCCCATCAAATGGCTGGTTTTACCTTCCAGGGTATGATTGTTTCCCAAAAATTCTCATTGGATCAGGGGTAATACAAAATGCCCAAACCAACTGCCCCTGGCTCTTCCAGTGCCCACTGTCGAGATGGTGTCTGCAAGAGTAGTAGAAGTATCCTTGTGGTATATAAGATTACTCAACTGCCCGATCCAGACTGTACCATTCCACAGACTATAGTGCAAAAAGCTGGCACCATGGAAAGTTAATGCTTGCCGACGTTTAAAAATATTGGTTTACAGTCACCCATTGCATTGTCTCCTATTAGATGGGGATCTGGGCACTTCTCCAAGTCTCCCCCACGTGAATTACTTTTTCAATTGGAGCACGAGACCATTGGCACTTATCAGTTCCTAGCTGCTAGGGTAGTGGATCTTGAAGAATTTCTCACTTACTGGACTAAGCAAAATGTGGTAAGATGTAGGGAAGTTGTGACACTGTAAGTGTTGTGCAGGTCACCCCTGAAACAGCTAGTGTTCCCTCCTCCTGCAGCCTGAGTCTGTCCAATTGAGTCAAGGTGAACACACCCCATGTAGTCTGATTGCACCCTAACTACACATATTGGCCCACTGACCATTTGTGTGCAAGTAATCAGATGGTCATCTTTTCAACCTGCCCATACCTGTGATACTCAGAGCTTATTTGCCTCTCCTTCTTTACTTTCCAAGCAAAGAATATATTCCGGTTGAGACAACATGTAGTCTCCCTATGGACTATCTGCCATAGGGTGTCATATTTCATGTTCTTTCTGAAGGTATCTTATCTATGTTTAATTTTGCACTAACTTCTCCACCAATTTAGTGTAGGTTTCTAGCTTTTTTTTGTGTGTGAAGGTGAGATATTGTTCTAGAAGTTAACATTTTCCTAACCTGGAAACATATTTCCAATACCTCTTCACACATTCCCACCTGGTGCACTTTCTTCTTGCCTTGTCTAAGAATGAAGTTATTTCGAATATAAGTGCTTAAAAGGGAGTTACTATGCTTGGAGGTTGTGTCACCATCCTATTGGTGAAGGGTTATTGTTGCACGATGTCATAATGCACCAGCATAATTCACATTAAACACGTGAATTTTAGCTGGTTGTTAGCTCAAGGCTAGTGGAATGCATGAGGGATATAGCTCTTTTTTGTGAAGAAATGAGTATCTATTGGAAATACATTTTCAGATTAGGAAAATTTTAACTTTCATGTTTGTTTTCCTTTGTTTTCAACTTACTTATTTTGTGCATTTTAATTTCAACTCAAACATAAGTAAGTTATTTTATTGTACTTTACTAAATACAGTTCATTTATGAAACGTTTGTTTTTATTTTATCCTACACCATAATGCCATCCTCTTAAACATTTCTGTGATTCGCAGTTCATCTTTTCTTTTTTTAATTATATAACTAATGCTTTATTTTTACTTCAGCACTGTATCTTGTCTCTTTCATTTCACCAGTACAAATCACTACACCTGTATTTCCCCATAGTTGTTGCTAAGATCAGGTAACTGTGTGCTATGCTTATCCTTGAAATTGCCAATTCTTTAATAGTGTAATCCTGAAGTAATTATTTTATTTCTCAAAGTAAAACTGTAAACCTGTTTTATTAAAGCCACTATGTGATTTATTTTTCACTCAATATTAGTATTAAGTTATGATCAAGCAGCCTACCCAAATTAAAACTAGAAATTAACACACAAATTAATATAACTACTTTGATATACCATTCTAATGTCTCCCGGTAGGACAATGGTAAGTTAAGTGTATTGCAAAGTTGTTTTCAGAAAGAATAAAACCAGTTTTATTTGTATCAGTAAAGTTTCTTCAGAAAGAATTTTTACGGAAAATTAACTAACAACCAGAGACGTAACAAATTGGTGTCAAAGAGTGGGACAGAAGAAAAAAAGAAAAAGATGGAAACGAGAGGCGGAAAATCAAACTACAGCTTAGCAGATTTGATGGCAGCAATACAAGAACAGCAAAATATACAAGAAGAGAGACAACAGCAGTTGCAAGAAAACCTGCAACAGTGGCAGCTCGAACAACAAAATAAACAAGAAGAGAGATTACAACAGTTGTTGGAGGAAAAGAAAATAAACAAGAAGAACGAGAAAAGAAACAAGAAGAGAGATTACAGCAGTTGTTGGAGGAAAAAGAAAAGAAAACAAGAAGTACGAGAAAAGAAACAAGAAGAGAGATTACAGCAATGGCAAGATAACTTGCAACAATGACAGCTTGAACAGCAAAATAAAC